GCTGCTAAGTCAATTACGTTTTTCTGTTGCAAATGTTGAGTCAAAAATCTTAAGGTAAAGCGTTTTTAAACAATTGTCCATTAATGACGATAGGTAGATAATAGTGCAAATGCTTAATTTTGTGAACTGAACGCGACTTGCAAAAGTGCACTGAATCTTGGGAGTTAGTGAAGTACTGACTACATACGGCTTACCCCATACTGCAATAACGAGTGGTAATAATTTTAGGTTCTGCAAAGCAAATTACCTGTGCATTTCAAAAGCACTTTCCAAATCATAACCTTGAAATGTCATTGAACAAATTCTAAATCTAATTAGACTAAGGTCCGTAGTAAAGTTCCCTCAGCGGAGATCACCTGAAGACACGGTCAGGTGAACTCATCCAAGGCAGGCAAGGTACAGGGGAGCAATTGTTTTATATCGCTCATATCGTATATCACATAATGTTAATAATTCCATCTTTTAATAGATTGTTATTGTGATTTGTGCATATTCATCATTTATATAGGAGGGAGATATGCAACTCTGTTGTCCTATATTACCTTCACATAGTGTCTCGCACTCTTTCGTAGCGTGCGTTGATGGCTTAGTAGTTAAGATGGCAGCCACTGAGCAAATGATTATGGTTCGAATCCGCTCAAGGTCAAACTCGTTTTGCCAATGAGTGAGAGGTATAGGATGATCATAGGAGCAGTTGTGTGAAATTGTAAGACAGACCGGATTCGAACCATTCCTAAAATAGGCATTTGATTATGCATGCAAGCATAGACCTGCTGATTGGAGCGTGATTCGACGTATTCAGATGGCTACGCTCTTCTTTTCAACCAGCCGAGGACGTGCAGCAAATCTTCGATATCAGCGAATATATCCAGCATTAGTATTTCGCAGAAATGATAGAATTTTCTATTCGAAATACAGATTTCGCGTATCGGATGTTGAGCAAATTGTGAAAATGCTGTCACCCCTCCTTCCAGATAGTGGTTTACTCCCGTGGGAAGTCACTAAAGAGGACCAAGTAGGGATAATGCTATCTTGAATTTCTCCCCTCTTTGTCCTCAAAGTTTGCAATTTAGGTGCTCATTACGTTGCGCTATCTGGCCACTAACAGTCATCAGACAGTGATTGCGGACTGTTTTGGTATAAGCCAGAAGGCGGTGAGCGACGTAGTGACGCGAGTGGTGGAGGCGCTCAATCATCCAGATATCGAAGCACGTTTCCTCCGCTCTGGCCTTCTGATGAACGGTGGTGCTTGCGAAGATCTCGAGAATTTGCCAAGAACTCGAGATTTACGAGTGAGTTTCGATTTTACAAAATTAAACGAAACTTCGATTTAAGAAGCTATTTTAGACGTCATTGGATGCTTCGATGGATGCCTCATTCGAATCCAGCGGCCCATCAACCCATCAATTTCGGCAATCACTACTACTGTCGAAAAGCGTGTTGCGCTTTGAACATGGTCGCAGTAGTAGATGTTTGAAACTGTTTTCAAGCTTATAGTATACCTGAACGGTGACTCATGAATTTGGGCAACTTTTCTATTTATAAAGCAGCTATTCGGTGTCCATAATCGGTCAAGAACTTGATGATTGAGCGAGAGGTTGCCTACAAATGAATAAAACTAATGATTTCTAATAGTTCTTGAATTGCAAACACGCGTTAATCTCACGATAATAAGTTTCATGATAACTAGGACCGTGAGCAAATGGTGCTTTTCCCTTTCAGCTTCTCTGGCTGCATGGATGCAAGCAAAAATGTTTCATGCCTCGTTCAGCTGTCCAGTTCAGCCATTTATTCAAACCATACCATATACTTTGAATATTATAAATGAATCACATGCTTAGTAAAGTAGGCTCATGCCTTAACCACTAATCAAAATGAGGGATATATGAAAAAAAAAACTACGAAAGGGCTTGGCATAATGCCATCAAATTTTGAAGTAATGCAAACATAGATCATTATGCGATGTGTAATGATAATTTAAGCACGTGGCAACTTACTTCAATGGACTGAAGAACAAATGGCAAATTTTGCTTCATTCAACATTTGGAAAAAAGAATGCTCCAACTTTTTTCATTTTGCTGGTACGTGCACTACAAGGAAACTGGTTCCTTTGCTCATGCTTTATTTTTCAAAAAATCGTCATGGTGAAGAGTGGAATTGAGAAATGAAAGGAAAACCGAAATTCGTTTGTTAAGTGGAACACGATAACATTT